GAAACAGTGCTTTTATTATTTCTAAAAAAGTTGGTTAATAAGTGTGAGTGAACTGCTTTTGTTATTAAATACTCGATAGTTAATTAATGTTACTAAGTTTACTCACCTATGAACATATATTCAATTCCTGAAATAGTTAACTTCTTAACTAAGGCTATGAATTAATTCTAAAAATCAGAATCAATAGTTGACAATATGATTAATAGTTAAAGAAATTTTTTTCGATCATTATCACAAAAATCAAGGGATTATATTTTTTTGCAAAGTATAGTAATTGTTTGTAGAATGATTATACAGAAATAAGAATTGATTCTAATTTGATCAACAATTAAAATGATTATTATAGAATCAATTCATACCCCTATTCTTAACACAACAAATAAGATCACCTGCAGCAAAATAGTGTAATAAGCCAACTAATCAAATTTTAAGATTTCATATTAATAATTTGCTAATAGGTCTTGTCTCTCTAAAAATATATTTTTTTAATCAAATGCATTAATAAATCGTGTATAAATCCATAATTTTTCTTCATTACTATTATAGTAAAATTTGAAAGAAAATCAATTTTGCTACATAATTATAATTATACTTAATTTGAGTGCCATCAAAGAAAAACCTGTCATTAATCATATAAATTTTATATAATTGATAACAGGTTTTTCCTTGGTGGCACTCTTGTATTTCTCTAAATACCTGAAATTAGTGAGTGTATAAATATATAGCATGTATATATATATATATGTATATATGTACATATATGTGTGCATAATAGATGAAAGGAATTTTTTAATATTTTCACATTTATACCTTGAGCAAAAATATAGAATATAATATACATTCCAATGATAATAACACAAATAAAGTTATTGTTGCTGCCTTAGAAGATTTGGACAATACTTTTTATTCAGAATATTTAGATTCTAAAAGTGATGAAGAATCTAACTCTTTATCAGATAATGAACCGTTATCTGACATTAATAATAACATCCCTTTAAATAATTTAAATGAGTTTGACTTTGTAGATTTACCTGATAATTATATTGAAGATAAGATCTATGATGAACTAAAATTAAAAATTTAAAAATTTTTTGAAAAAGGAAAGTGCTCATGTCATTCTAAGCAATCTTGTTTTGAAAAAATTAGATATAAAAAGTTTCTTGCACGTCGAGCTAAATTTGAAAGCCTAGATAAAAATATGCATGATATGGTTATAAAGGAATAACTAATTGCCTTTCAAAAAAGTGAAAATACAAGAAAAGTTACTGATATAAATAGAAAAAAAATATATTTTAGTTATTGCTATAACAATGATATTCCAGTCTGTTGCGATACATATTTAACTCTTGTTGGAATAGGTCATACATATTTAGAAAATATAAAATATCATTTACAAGAACATGGTCTTGAGGAATATATACATAGTAATACCAGTAGAGCTCTAAAAAAAAATGAAACATATTGAAGTAAATTATGATGTAGTATATGATTTATTTTGATTTTTAAAAAATTACTCTAACATACACGGTATGCCTTCACCTGGATGACATTTTAACTGAATTTCTATGGCAATTGTGTTTCTTTTAACCAATTTTAGTTATAAGTTAGTATATCATGATTATGTGCAAGCTTACAAAGATAAGTATAAGAAAGATGTTTGTATTATATCTGAAACAACCTTTACTAGTATTTAGAAAATTTTAATACTGTCACTTCAATTTATGTCTCCAAAATCTGATTTATGTGAAACTTGTGAATTAATAAAAATGGAAATTCAATATATTATGCTGTATGAAAAAAAACTAGCACTTATGAATAAGTATTTAACTCATTTGAATTGTATACAAAAAGAACGTGATTATTACAATATTAATATTAAAAATGCAATTGAAGATAGCAAGCATAATCAAAACATTCAAGTATCTTTTAAAACTTTTAGTAGTAGTGCACATATTGCATATGATTGAGCCCAGAATGTACAAATACCTTATTTACTGCAGCAAATAGGCTCTTTATAGTTTAAAAATTCTCAAAAAATATATATATTTATAGTTTGCAATACTGGTAACTTTCTGAATACACAACAAATTAATTATGTAATTGATGAAGCAGAAATGCCTGATGATGGTAAGCAAGATAAAGGTGCAAATTGTACTCTAAGTTTGGTTTGGCATGCAATTCAAAAATATAATTGTGGTGAAAGCAAATTAGTTATCACATGCAATAATTGTATAGGCCAGAATAAAAATAATTATTCATTATTTTTTTATTCATGGCTAATTGATCGTGATATGTATGATGAAATTGAGCTAAATTTTATGATACCTGGACATACTAAATTTATCTGTAATGGTTGCTTTGGTTTAATTAAAATCCTCTATTGCAAAAGCAAAGTAAATACTGTAGATGACATAGTCTCTATTATTAATCGTTCTACTTCAATTAATTTAAATATTGCACAGCGTTATTTGAATGGAGAAGGAGTTCAATATTATAATTTCAAAAATTATTTTGAAGCATTTAAAAAATTACCCAATATTCAAA